TGTGACCAAATCACAGCTAAGCACAAAAAAAAAAAAAAAAGCTGAATGAATCGATGTCATTCAGGTAAATGCTTGCTTATAGCAAAGTAATTCTTTGCTATAAGCAAATTGTGTAAAAAAAAATAAAAAAATTCAGATCACTTCCCCAAAGTAGTACAATGTTACTATGGTAACATTGTACTACTTTGGTCATAGTAAAATCTTAAAAAAAAAAATCTAAAAAAAAAAAAAAAAAAAAAAAATGTAATAAAAAAATTTAAAATAATTAAAAAAAAAATATATATATATATATATTTTTTTTTCATACTGTCACCAGTCAGTGTCCCTGTTCACCGCCATGCCAGTTATATGATGACGCTGTACTGCACTGGTGACAGTATGTAAAAAAATAAATAGTGAAAATAGATTTTTTAATTTTTTAATTTTCCGAAAAATTATGACAAAAAAAATACAACTTCAAAAAACTCGCCATTCCTCTTATGAAGTACGTCGGACTGTCTACTCTGCAAAAAGGGGTCATTTGGGGATATCTGTACTATTCTGACATTTGGGGGATATCTGTACTGTCCTGACATTTGGGGGATATCTGTACTGTCCTGACATTTGGGGGATATCTGTACTGTTCTGACATTTGGGGGATATCTGTACTGTCCTGACATTTGGGGGATATCTGTACTGTTCTGACATTTGGGGGATATCTGTACTGTCCTGACATTTGGGGGGATATCTGTACTGTTCTGACATTTGGGGGATATCTGTACTGTCCTGACATTTGGGGGATATCTGTACTGTCCTGACATTTGGGGGGATATCTGTACTGTTCTGACATTTGGGGGATATCTGTACTGTCCTGACATTTGGGGGATATCTGTACTGTTCTGACATTTGGGGGATATCTGTACTGTCCTGACATTTGGGGGATATCTGTACTGTCCTGACATTTGGGGGATATCTGTACTGTCCTGACATTTGGGGGATATCTGTACTGTCCTGACATTTGAGGGATATCTGTACTGTCCTGACATTTGGGGGATATCTGTACTGTCCTGACATTTGGGGATATCTGTACTGTCCTGACATTTGAGGGATATCTGTACTGTCCTGACATTTGGGGGATATCTGTACTGTCCTGACATTTGGGGGATATCTGTACCGTTCTGACATTTGGGGGATATCTGTACTGTCCTGACATTTGGGGGATATCTGTACTGTTCTGACATTTGGGGGGATATCTGTACTGTCCTGACATTTGGGGATATCTGTACTGTTCTGACATTTGGGGGATATCTGTACTGTCCTGACATTTGGGGGATATCTGTACTATTCTGACATTCTTGGACCTCAAGAAATTAGATTGGCCGTCAGTACTTCAGGATTGATCAATATTCAGATCTATCCCATAGTTTGTGAACTCTATAACTTTCCTACAAACTAAATAATACATCCTAATTTGGGTTATTTTCACCAAAGACATGGAGCAGAATACATCTCGGCCTAAATTTATGAAGAACAATTATTTATTTGTAAACTTTTATAACAGAAACAAAGAAAAACGTGTCATCATGTCCTTGTACAGCATTTATGCCTTTAAAGTGCACTTTATAAACAGTTTTGAACAGATAAAATACTTTCTTGTTACTTTTTTCTGACCTCCAGAATGGATTCATTCATTTTCAATGCATTTACGAATTTGTTTTGCTGTACTAATGGAATAAATGGTTTTCAATGCATTCACAATTTTTTTTTTATCATGTCCCTGTACAGTATTTATGCCTTTAAAGTGCACTTTATAAAGAGTTTTGAACACATAAAATCCTTTTTTTATTTTTTCTGACCTCCGGAACGGATTCATTTTTTTTCAACGCATTTATACATTTTTTTCGCAATATGAATGGATTAATTGGTTTTCAATGCATTCCTATGGGAAACCGCGTTTTGGTTTACAAATTTTTTTTTGATAGTTTTGTAAACTGTTTTTTTTTTCTTGCCTATATATACCACAAAAATAAATAGTATAACTAAAAACTACAACACAGGCAGGAAATCGATCTGCCTCTTTTTTCTGATTAAAAAGAGTTTCTTTTGATTGAACCATTTCACATATATTACGCCCCCCCGGGAGGGGGCGACCTTTATCACCCGCGTTGTGCGTCCGTGAACCGACGCCTCGGCTGGCACCGTCTGGGACGACTATACAGGCAACTGCAGGGATTTGTCTGGTGAGACAGCCGACTGCACAAGACGGATGTCAGGATGATCAGCGGGGCCGTTCAGGAAGTCGGCTTCGTCTCCTGAGTCGGTTTTAAGCGTAGAAACGTTCGTCTTTTGACGGCTAGGTACCTTAAACAGATGGCAGACTTCAGACGTTTAAATCCTATTACCTTCAAGGTCGATGGCTGTCATGTTTTCATTTTCAGACGTGACAACCTAATGGAATAAGGCGATCCGAACAAGACGCGGGACGAAAAAAAAAAAAAAAATTAAGAATAACATTTTTACAAATTTAAAATGTAATCGGGGCAATCGAGTTGAAAGGGATTCGTTCTCCGGGCTGTGACGGCACCACGCTGTCTAATAGATATTAATGACATTTCCTGCGATGGCAGTTGAGGGTATAATAGAATCCGGAGACGCAACGCGGGATCAACGGGATAATCGCGCTCTTATTTTAATAAAGGTGCCAAATTTATTCAGGACTACTTTTTTTTTATTTTATTAATATGTTAGTTAATTGTGATTTGCTATTTTACCCACATGGAAGAAAATATATTTTAAATATATTTAAAAAATACATTCTTATTATATTCTTCCCAAATATATTGACCTATATTTCAAATACTACAATTTTGGCCATAATCAATATATTAAAAAATAAAAATTATATATATATCTATATATATATATACACATATAAATACATATATATATATACACACACACACATAGAGAGATCGGATATAGTGAATGCGGGGTCCGGGAAGAGCGGATATAGTGAATGCGGGGTCCGGGGAGAGCGGATATAGTGAATGCAGGGTCCGGGGAGAGCGGATATAGTGAATGCGGGGTCCGGGGAGAGCGGATATAGTGAATGCGGGGTCCGGGGAGAGCGGATATAGTGAATGCGGGGTCCGGGGAGAGCGGATATAGTGAATGCGGGGTCCGGGGAGAGCGGATATAGTGAATGCGGGGTCCGGGGAGAGCGGATATAGTGAATGCGGGGTCCGGGGAGAGCGGATATAGTGAATGCAGGGTCCGGGGAGACCAGATATAGTGAATGCAGGGTCCGGGGAGACCGGATATAGTGAATGCGGGGTCCGGGGAGAGCGGATATAATGAATGCCGGGTCCAGGGGAGAGCAGATATAGTGAATGCAGGGTCCGGGGAGACCGGATATAGTGAATGCAGGGTCCGGGGAGAGCGGATATAGTGAATGCGGGGTCCGGGGAGAGCGGATATAGTGAATGCAGGGTCCGGGGAGAGCGGATATAGTGAATGCGGGGTCCGGGGAGAGCGGATATAGTGAATGCGGGGTCCGGGGAGAGCGGATATAGTGAATGCGGGGTCCGGGGAGAGCGGATATAGTGAATGCGGGGTCTGGGGAGAGCGGATATAGTGAATGCGGGGTCCGGGGAGAGCGGATATAGTGAATGCGGGGTCCGGGGAGAGCGGATATAGTGAATGCGGAGTCCGGGGAGAGCGGATATAGTGAATACGGGGTCCGGGGAGAGCGGATATAGTGAATGCGGGATCCGGGGGAGAGCGGATATAGTGAATGCCGGGTCCAGGGAGAGCGGATATAGTGAATGCGGAGTCCGGGGAGAGCGGATATAGTGAATACGGGGTCCGGGGAGAGCGGATATAGTGAATGCGGGATCCGGGGAGAGCGGATATAGTGAATGCCGGGTCCAGGGGAGAGCAGATATAGTGAATGCAGGGTCCGGGGAGACCAGATATAGTGAATGCAGGGTCCGGGGAGACCGGATATAGTGAATGCGGGGTCCGGGGAGAGCGGATATAATGAATGCCGGGTCCAGGGAGAGCAGATATAGTGAATGCAGGGTCCGGGGAGACCAGATATAGTGAATGCGGGGTCCGGGGAGATCAGATATAGTGAATGCGGGGTCCGGGGAGAGCGGATATAGTGAATGCGGGGTCCTAGGAGACCAGATATACTGAATGCAGGGTCCGGGGAGACCGAATATAGTGAATGCAGGGTCCGGGGGAGAGCAGATATAGTGAAAGTGGGTCCGGGGAGAGCAGATATAGTGAATGCGGGGTCTGGGGGAGACTGGATATAGTGAATGCGGGGTCCAGGGAGATCAGATATAGTGAATGCAGGGTCCGGGGAGAGCAGATATAGTGAATGCGGGGTCCGGGGAGACCGGATATAGTGAATGCAGGGTCCGGGGAGACCAGATATAGTGAATGCAGGGTCCAGGGAGATCAGATATAGTGAATGCAGGGTCCGGGAGAGCAGATATAGTGAATGCAGGGTCCGGGGGGAGAGCGGATATAGTGAATGCAGGGTCCGGGGAGAGCAGATATAGTGAATGCAGGGTCCGGGGAGAGCGGATATAGTCAATGCAGGGTCCAGGGAGACCAGATATAGTCAATGCAGGGTCCGGGGAGACCAGATATAGTGAATGCAGGGTCCTGGGAGAGCAGGATATAGTGAATGCAGGATCCGAGGGGAGAGCTGATAAAGTGAATGCAGGGTCCGGAAAAACCGGATATAGTGAATGCAGGGTCCGGGGAAAAGGGATATAGTGAATGCAGGGTTCGGGAGAGGAGGATATAGTGAATGTGGGGTCCGGGGAGAATGGATATAGTGAATGCAGGGTCCGGGGAGACCAGATATAGTGAATGCGGGGTCCGGGAAAGCGTATATAGTGAATGCAGGGTCCAGAGAGACCAGATATAGTGAAAGTGGGGTCCGGGGAGACCGGATATAGTGAATGCGGGGTCCAGGGAGATCAGATATAGTGAATGCGGGGTCCAAGGAGATCAGATATAGTGAATGCGGGGTCCGGGGAGAGCGGATATAGTGAATGCAGGGTCCGGGGAGACCAGATATAGTGAATGCGGGGTCCGCGGAGAGCAGATATAGTGAATGCGGGGTCCGGGGAAAGCGTATATAGTGAATGCAGGGTCCAGAGAGACCAGATATAGTGAATGCGGGGTCCGGGGAGACCGGATATAGTGAATGCAGGGTCCGGGGAGACCAGATATAGTGAATGCAGGGTCCGGGGAGACCAGATATAGTGAATGCAGGGTCCAGGGAGAGCAGGTTTAGTGAATGCAGGATATGGGGAGAGCTGATAAAGTGAATGCAGGGTCCGGAAAAACCGGATCTAGTGAATGCAGGGTCCGGGGAAAAGGGGATATAGTGAATGCAGGGTTCGGGGAGACCGGATATAGTGAATGCGGGGGTCCGGGAGAGCAGATATAGTGAATGCGGGGTCCGGGGAGAGTGGATATAGTGAAGTGCGGGGTCCGCGGAGAGCAGATATAGTGAATGCGGGGCCCGAGGAGACCAGATATAGTGAATGCGGGGTCCGGGGAAAGCGTATATAGTGAATGCAGGGTCCAGGGAGACCAGATATAGTGAATGCGGGGTCCGGGGGGAGAGCAGATATAGTGAATGCAGGGTCCGGGAGATCAGATATAGTGAATGCAGGGTTCGGGGGGAGAGCAGATATAGTGAATGCAGGGTCCGGGGAGATCATATATAATGAATGCAGGGTCTGGGGAGAGCGGATATAGTGAATGTAGGGTCCGGGGAGAGCGGATATAGTGAATGCGGGGTCAGGGGAGAGCGGATATAGTGAATGCAGGGTCAGGGGAGAGCAGATATAATGAATGCAGGGTCAGGGGAGAGCAGACATAGTGAATGCAGGGTCCGAGGAGACCAGATATAGTGAATGCAGGGTCCGAGGAGACCAGATATGGTCCGAGGAGACCAGAATGCAGGGTCCGGAGAGACCAGATATAGTGAATGCAGGGTCCGGGGAGACCAGATATAGTGAATGCGGGGTCCGGGGAGACCAGATATAGTGAATGCGGGGTCCGGGGAGACCAGATATAGTGAATGCAGGGTCCGGGGAGACCAGATATAGTGAATGCAGGGTCCAGGGAGAGCGGATATAGTGAATGCGGGGTCCGGAGAGACCGGATATAGTGAATGCAGAGTCTGGAGAGACCAGATATAGTGAATGCAGGGTCCGGAGAGACCGGATATAGTGAATGCAGAGTCCGGAGAGACCGGATATAGTGAATGCAGGGTCTGGGGTATAAATCTGGCCATGTGGTCACAGCAACCTACATACAACGCATGCATGGGGCAAAACTTCTCCACCGGCTGATCACGCATGTGCCTGGGCTCTTAGGGGTATACAGGTTAACAAACCTCATTTATTATGGAAATCTCACCATCCTTGACCCGCCGCCTTCTTCTCCATTTAATACGTAAATCACCTCCATGCGATTCTGCGGAAACAGATGGCAGCTTATTACCGCGCTCTGCGTCCTCCTCATCCCCCAGAATCCTGTTTAAAGGCTATTTTGATTGCAATTCCTGGCTGATGCGCCGGATCTCGCAGCCTTGTGCCTGCCACATAAATTACCATGAGGAATCGGAGCCGGAGCGCATAAACAGCTCTCGAGGTGCTTCTGATGAAGCCGCGCACAAGGTGTTCTGCGCTCCCTCTCCACGCGGATGCCAATAAATATTCAGGAAAAAAAAAATCTTCTAATCCCTCTAATTCAATGCAGAGCAGGGCCGACCCATAATATTTATGCACAAAAGCAGCCGGGAGCCGAGCGAAGGTTAGCCGGGAAACGTAGGAAGCAATCTATTGATTGCCATTAATCTTTTCAAGGATCTCGAGATTTTTTTTTTTTTTTCTTTTTTTTTTCCTTTTTTTATTAAAAAGAAAGAATTACAATAGAACGATGAATAACACTCAAAAGTTGTGTTTCTTTCGCTAAATAACTTTTTTTTTGTGATGTGTTCCCATTCATGTGAATTAGTTACAATGTAGCGGATCGCCGCAAGGTCGCACTCATGGGAGGTAACAATGAAAAATGAATCGCTATTCAGTGCGTGTGATTTAAGGCGCGAGAGAAAAACGAAAAACTGTCATCATTGAAAAAAAAAAAGATACAAAAAAAAAAAAAAAAAAACAGGAAACAGACATTGCCGCTGAATGGAGGAGAGAGAGATACAAAGCAGCAGCAAGCGTGGGAATCTGCCGCGGAATTCACGTTTCGAAGGAAAATTTCCTCTTTTAAAGCGGTATTAAACCCAAAACTGTAATATATTGCGGCTTACCAGTCATTAGATGTGGCGGCTGCATTTGTTTTCTTTTTTTTAATAAAAGAAAGAATTACAATAGAACGATAAAAAATACTCAAAAGTTGTGTTTCTTTTACTAAATAACTTTTTTTGTGATGTGTTCCCATTCATGTGAATTAGTTACAATGTAGCGGATCGCCGCAAGGTCGCACTCATGGGAGGTAACAGGAAACAGGAAACAGACATTTCCGCTGAACGGAGGAGTGAGATACAAAGCAGAAGCAAGCGTGGGAATCTGCCGCAGAATTCACGTTTGGAAGGAAAATTTCCTCTTTTAAAGCGGTATGAAACCCAAAAACCAAAATTGTAATATGTTGTGGCTTACCAGTCATTAGATGTGGCGGTTGCGTTTGTTTTCTTTTTTTTTTTTATCATTGAAAAAAAAAAGAAGATAAAAAAAAAAAAAAAAAAAAAACAGGAAACAGACATTGCCGCTGAATGGAGAAGAGAGAAATACAAAGCAGCAGCAAGCGTGGGAATCTGCCGCGGAATTCACGTTTCGAAAGAAAATTTCCTCTTTAATAAAGCGGTATGAAACCCAAAACTGTAATATGTTGCAACTTACTAGTCATTAGATGTGGCGGCTGCATTTATTTTTTTTTTTTATTAAAAGAAAGAATTACAATAGAACGATGAATAAACACTCAAAAGTTGTGTTTCTTTTACTAAATAACTTTTTTTTGTGATGTGTGTTCCCATTCATGTGAATTAGTTACAATGTAGCGGATCGCCGCAAGGTCGCACTCATGGGAGGTAACAATGAAAAATGAATCGCTATTCAGTGCGTGTGATTTAAGGCGTGAGAGAAAAACGAAAAACTGTCATCATTGAAAAAAAAAAAGATACAAAAAAAAAGAAAAAAAAAACAGGAAACAGACATTTCCGCTGAATGGAGGAGAGAGATACAAAGCAGCAACTAGCGCGGGAATCTGCCGCGGAATTCACGTTTCGAAAGAAAATTTCCTCTTTTAAAGCGGTATGAAACCCAAAACTGTAATATGTTGCGGCTTACCAGTCATTAGATGTGGCGGCTGCATTTGTTTTCTTTTTTTTAATAAAAGAAAGAATTACAATAGAACGATAAAAAATACTCAAAAGTTGTGTTTCTTTTACTAAATAACTTTTTTTTGTGATGTGTTCCCATTCATGTGACAAACAGACATTGCCACTGAATGGAGGAGAGAGATACAAAGCAGCAGCTAGCGTGGGAATCTGCCGCGGAATTCACGTTTGGAAGGAAAATTTCCTCTTTTAAAGCGGTATGAAACCCAAAACTGTAATATATTGTGGCTTACTTACCCGTCATTACAGTAGATGTGGCGGCTGCATTTGTTTTCTTTTTTTTAATAAAAGAAAGAATTACAATAGAACGATGAATAACACTCAAAGTTGTGTTTCTTTTACTAAATAACTTTTTTTTGTGATGTGTTCCCATTCATGTGAATTAGTTACAATGTAGCGGATCGCCGCAAGGTCGCACTCATGGGATGTAACAGGAAACAGGAAACAGACATTTTCCGCTGAATGGAGGAGTGAGATACAAAGCAGAAGCAAGCGTGGGAATCTGCAGCAGAATTCACGTTTGGAAGGAAAATTTCCTCTTTTAAAGCGGTATGAAACCCCAAAACTGTAATATATTGTGGCTTACCCGTCATTACAGTAGATGTGGCGGCTGCATTTGTTTTTTTTTTTTTTAATAAAAGAAAGAATTACAATAGAACGATGAATAACACTCAAAAGTTGTGTTTCTTTTACTAAATAACTTTTTTTGTGATGTGTTCCCATTCATGTGAATTAGTTACAATGTAGCGGATCGCCGCAAGGTCGCACTCATGGGAGGTAACAGGAAACAGGAAACAGACATTTCCGCTGAATGGAGGAGTGAGATACAAAGCAGAAGCAAGCGTATGGGAATCTGCAGCAGAATTCACGTTTGGAAAAAATTTCCTCTTTTAAAGCGGTATGAAACCCAAAACCAAAATTGTAATATGTTTGTGGCTTACCAGTCATTAGATGTGGCGGCTGCGTTTGTTTTTCTTTTTTTTTTTTATCATTGAAAAAAAAAAGAAGATACAAAAAAAAGAAAAAAAAAACAGGAAACAGACATTGCCGCTGAATGGAGAAGAGAGAAATACAAAGCACCAGCAAGCGTGGGAATCTGCCGCGGAATTCACGTTTCGAAAGAAAATATCCTCTTTTAAAGCGGTATGAAACCCAAAACTGTAATATGTTGTGGCTTACAAGTCATTAGATGTGGCGGCTGCATTCGTTTTTCTTTTTTTTAATAAAAGAAAGAATTACAATAGAACGATAAAAAATACTCAAAAGTTGTGTTTCTTTTACTAAATAACTTTTTTTGTGATGTGTTCCCATTCATGTGACAAACAGACATTGCCACTGAATGGAGGAGAGAGAGATACAAAGCAGCAGCAAGCGTGGGAATCTGCCGCGGAATTCATGTTTCGAAGGAAAATTTCCTCTTTTAAAGCGGTTTTAAACCCAAAACTGTAATATATTGTGGCTTACCCGTCATTACAGTAGATGTGGCGGCTGCATTTGTTTTCTTTTTTTTTAATAAAAGAAAGAATTACAATAGAACGATGAATAACACTCAAAAGTTGTGTTTCTTTTACTAAATAACTTTTTTTGTGATGTGTTCCCATTCATGTGACAAACAGACATTGCCACTGAATGGAGGAGAGAGAGATACAAAGCAGCAGCCAGCGTGGGAATCTGCCGCGGAATTCATGTTTCGAAGGAAAATTTCCTCTTTTAAAGCGGTTTTAAACCCAAAACTGTAATATATTGTGGCTTACCCGTCATTACAGTAGATGTGGCGGCTGCATTTGTTTTCTTTTTTTTAATAAAAGAAAGAATTACAATAGAACGATGAATAACACTCAAAAGTTGTGTTTCTTTTACTAAATAACTTTTTTTGTGATGTGTTCCCATTCATGTGAATTAGTTACAATGTAGCGGATCGCCGCAAGGTCGCACTCATGGGAGGTAACAATGAAAAATGAATCGCTATTCAGTGCGTGTGTGATTTAAGGCGCGAGAGAAAAAATGAAAAACTGTCATCATTGAAAAAAAAAAAGATACAAAAAAAAGAAAAAAAAAAACAGGAAACAGACATTGCCGCTGAATGGAGGAGAGATATACAAAGCAGCAGCTAGCGCGGGGAATCTGCCGCGGAATTCACATTTCGAAAGAAAATCTCCTCTTTTAAAGCGGTATGAAACCCAAAACCAAAATTGTAATATGTTGCGGCTTACCAGTCATTAGATGTGGCGGCTGCATTTTGTTTTCTTTTTTTTAATAAAAGAAAGAATTACAATAGATCGATGAATAACACTCAAAAGTTGTGTTTCTTTTACTAAATAACTTTTTTTGTGATGTGTGTTCCCATTCATGTGAATTAGTTACAATGTAGCGGATCGCCGCAAGGTCACACTCATGGGAGGTAACAGGAAAAAGGAAACAGACATTTCCGCTGAATGGAGGAGTGAGATACAAAGCAGAAGCAAGCGTGGGAATCTGCCGCAGAATTCACGTTTGGAAGGAAAATTTCCTCTTTTAAAGCGGTATGAAACCCAAAACCAAAATTGTAATATGTTGTGGCTTACCAGTCATTAGATGTGGCGGCTGCGTTTGTTTCTTTTTTTTTTTTATCATTGAAAAAAAAAAGAAGATACAAAAAAAGAAAAAAAAAAAAACACAGGAAACAGACATTGCCGCTGAATGGAGAAGAG